GAAGGTTACCGTACGTCTTCGTGGTTTGGTAGTACCAACTACGTAGGACGTTACCTACTAGTATTACTAAGAATTACTATACGGTAACCCGTTAACCTAAACTAGTAGTATGCTCTCTCTCTCTCTCTCTCTCTCTCTCTCTCTCTCTCTCTCAAAGCATCGCACAAACACACATCAGTGTTCAAATAAATGAACAAGCCTTGAAAACCGGCCAATGGTTGTTTCCGAGTAACTGGGAAACCGGCTAGTTTAACCGGCCAAACCGGGTAGGTCTCAAACAGTCCAAAAAGTGTTAAAAAAAACAAAGAATAAAAAAATGTGAAAAGTCCGGCTAAACAAAGCACGTCCAAATGAAAATGAAAATTAGTGAAAATAAAGGGATTTAAAAAAATCGATTTATGTCTAGAGGTACTTTTGAAATTTTTAAAAGATGAAAAAATATAAAAATAACTATTCATGGCCAAAACACTGTCCAATCTTTGCCAAAATCATAAAATCCTTAAAAAACATATTACAAACAAGTCTCTTATTTTTTTGGAGGACTTTACATAATTTTTTTGAATTTTTAAAATTACCGGACCACCAAAACTGGATCGGTCAGTGCCCAATTCCGGTTTGACGGACAAGTTCCCAGTTGGACCAGCCGACGGCCGAGTTTGATAACACTCACACACACTCTCTCTCTCTTTCTCTCTCTCTCTTATATTTTAGAGCTTGTAGGTTCTTTGTGGATAAAAGGCCCATACGAATTTACAAAAACATGAGAGAAGCAGGAGTAGAGTATCCCTCTCAACCTATGCAGATCATAGCCAGCTTATGGGATGGTGATGATTGGGCAACTGATGGGGGAAAAGTAAAGACCAATTGGACCTATGCACCTTTCTTTGCATATTTTAGAGGATTCAATGTCAATGGTTGCCCTGTGCATGATTCCAACCCTCAGGACTGCTACTCTTCCAAATATTGGTGGAATTCAAACAAATATAGAACCCTAAGTCCTCCTCAACAAAAGCTATACCAACGTGTGAGAGACAAGTATTTAAAATATGATTATTGTAAAGATAGAAAAAGGTTTCCTAAACCACCTCCTGAATGCCCTCAATAAAACCACTCTTTGGACTCTCTTGAATTTGGGGACCCATCTTCTTTCCCCAAAGTTGAATTGCATGATTTCCTCCATGTATAAGGAGAGCTTCATCATGAATGATGAATTATCATTTTGAATTATGGGTTGTGTAATAAACTCATGAAAATGTGCCACATCACTTTCTGAAATTGATGATTCCTTTTGTTTTGTGTTCATGGAGGTATGGCTAAGCTTCTTTGGCTCGATCTGGTCCTCCTTTTTTCGTTTTTTTTTTTTTTTTTTTAACTCATTTGATTTAATGTTTAAGGACTTTTTAGTAACAGTTATTGTTCCAGATTCATGTAACCATGCCAAAAGAGAGATATTATGGAAAAGGGCTTCACAATCTGTAACATAAACCATGTCGAATACGTACAAAACAAAGGGTGCAGTTTGCATACGGACGCATCCGTAGGCATAGAGGTAAGGTGCACCTTCAAATTTTATGATGGTATATAATTTTGATGTAAAATGTTGTTAGGATTATCTCAAAATCTGTTTTTATATCTAATTATAAAATTTAAAATTTTAAAAATGGTTAAAATCAAGTAGATCTATAAACATATGAAAATCTTGAAAGTGAACGTGTAGATAATATGTTGTTGTAAAATACATTTTATGAGACTTAAAACCTTTTTATTTTCATGGTCATACATCTCGATGTAGAGATGATCAATCAAAAGGTTTTTCAATATTAAGACCACTTTTTCTGATGAAATTTTGAGGTGCATCCGCTACTACATTATAGGGTTGCATCCTTATATAAACTTTTTCCCAAAACAAATTCAAGAAAGTGTTGTCATCAAATAAAACTTTCACCCCTTCTCCTCCATAACTGAAAACACATAAAGACCCATAAAAGAGAAACAAAATGAACATGATAACATGTGGGCTATTTAGAATTACACAATTTATAAATTCAACAAATTTTCTCCTTTATTTTTCTATTATATAAGTAAATTCTACTAACAAAGTACCAATTACAATACAAAACATAAAATAAAACCAACTACAATCTATAGGTACACTCCTACACCTAATTACATGGGGGAGTTCTTTCATGCGAAAACAAGATTGAGGAGAGAGAAGGAAAACGAAGCCATCCAAGCCATGGATCACTAGTTAACCTTGCTATGAAAGTCCTGTAACAGTAATCAGCCGATGAGTTAAGAGCATTAGAGAGCCCCAAAAGTTTCGTGGTTCTGAAAACTCTACCAAGTATTCCAAACCCATTAGGAAATGAAAAATACAAGGAAACGAGATAAAACATCTCAATATCAAAGACCCTATCAAGACCCAATTCATAGTTTTCTTCATCTGATCCCCCAAAGAACAAATGACGAAGCTCCAGCACCCTCTTCCTCATCTTTTTTTGGATCTCTTTTTCATTACAAAGAACCAACTTATTCTCTGAAACTACATTTTCTTCTTTAAGTTCTTTGCAGTAGCCATCTCCCCATCCAAGAACCAACTCACTAAATTTCAAGCTCGAAATTTGCCAGAAAATGGCATACTTCCAGTTAAATTTGGAGAAATGGTGGCCTTCAACAAGATCACATAGGGTTTGGAAGGTTGATTAGGGGACAGAGGTTTAAAAACAATGTCTTTTTTAAATTTGTTCAGATCAACAAAATTAATAAAAAAAAATGAATAAAATATGAATAATAGAGTGAATTTCTGTGTAGTAAGATAAGTTTTGCAACCTTAAGTCAATGAAAAAATGAAAATTGAAAATAAGATTTATGGAGATATTTTTCTTTTTTTTATAATCCCCCTAACATTTTTAGTTGGCTTGTTTCACGTGCTGCATTTTTTGTCCAACACTTTAATCTCTCCAGTCCTTATGAAGTTGTTTGTTATCCAGGAGATCATACAAATTTTTTTCCTTTTCTTGAACCCTTGTGCACATGGTTTTATCTTAATTTTAAAGCATGAAAATTCGGGTTCAGATTTAAACTATAACCAAACAACTGGTGGGATTTGGGTAAATAGTTCTTTCTTTTTTTTTCTTTTCTTTTTACTTTTCTCCCCTTTTTGAATGTGGGTCAATCCAACAATTCTTTCCAAGACAAGCTTGCTTTTATCTCCAAACTATCATCTCATGACATGCATCTCAAGCCACCCATGAATGTCCCTCTCAAACTGGACTGAATTTATTTATTTAATCATGGGATTCCACAGGAAATAAAAGTATGTAGCAGAGTACATTTCCGGGATCTCAAGCAGCAGGTCTGAGTAGCCAGTAAAATGAGATCTCAAAGCTATCATGTCTGCTTTCCTCAAATCCTGAATAGGCAACAAAAGGTTATTAGATATGTACGACTCTCAATACAAATGCTATTATCTAGTCATACATCAAAAATATGTAAACATGCATATACAAATACATGGATCAGCATGCACACACAGACGACCCATGCATCTATGCATATGGACAAAAAAAGTCGCGTACTAAAAATTGGATGTGATCTCTAACTGTTTATTTACCTTCATTGATAAGGCTGCCAACTGCTTAAGCTACGGGTTCTACCAAAAGTGCGATCCAGGTTTCTCCTCTTAGGGTCGAACAGGCAGAGGTTATATTTTAAACATTCCAATAGCAATGAAGCAGTATCAATGCCTGTCCAGAGGGAAGAAATGCTTAATTAGAATAACACGAGTCTGTGTCGACAATGCACATGAAGTTAGCATCAAATGGTTTCCACTCGAAACAACAATGGACTAATAGAAATGGAATGCCATGAAATGCACATGTTCCAGAATGTTCATCACATTGACTAAGATAATACTTAATAACCAGTCCCCTTCTACATGATTAATGGCACACTACAGTAATGGAACACTACAGAAAACAACTATCCATGGTATTAAGTATTACATGTTCAACAAGGAAATAAACAGATCATCCTCTTATTCCAATCAACTATCTAATATAACATTATGTTACTACATTATTCAGGTTTAACAACATATGTTTAATAGGAAAATTTGACAGAGAAAATATATTGAAATAAACGCCTGAGTCATATCTAAAACATATCAGATTCCTTAAATAGCTAATTGTCAAATGACAACCATGCCCTCCATCAGTTACTGCTTGATGGATCTCTTCATAATCAAGGAACAGACTCTAGAGAACATTACAATCACGGATACAGAAGGGGCTACTGTTATTCGTCCAAGTCCAAAACTTTCACGAGATAAACGTCATCATAGTTGGCAGGGCTTAGACTGCTTTGCAGATATTGGTACTGCTTCCTAGGATCATGTAGTCTTTCCTGATATGGGTTAGCCCTTCGAACTCTGGGTGCCATCTATAAAAACTTTCCCACTGATGAACACATGTTTTGATTTATCGATATACTTTTGTTTCATAGGACCTCTAGATTAAGCAGTGAAAATAAAAATTTATGTATTGCCTACATACCTCTTATAAAAAATATATATAGAACATAAAAAAAACTTGTAACAAACCATGCAACAGATCTTCAAAAGATGGGTTTGAACAACTCCAGAGGATTAATATTTTTAAATTACAATAGAGATACATCCACTTTCCAACTAACACATTTTCATGGTCACCAGATCATAAGCAGATACTGCCAATCAGATTTGTAATCATTACCCATATAATAGTAATAGGTACACGTAATGTATGTATTTGATGAAACAAGTTACCAAAAATAGAATAGAGTTGATCAAAAACAGAATTGAACGATAGGAATTAAAAGAACTATAGAAGTGTAAAGGAGAAATTTAAAGATAAGTGAAGACCAGTACTCTGAACATGAACAACAAATGGAAATCAGTATAGGCCAACTGAGAAAATGATGAATAGTAAATGGAAATGAGGGCAACATGGCATCAGTTGACCGTAAATACCATCACTCTTAAAAACTGAAACAAATTTTCAAATAAAGAATTTCAGTGTGTACAGGCCCTCGAGTGCCAGGATTTAAAACTGAAATTCAAATCCAAGGACCAGATTCGATTCAGATAAGAGTTAAGATGATGGTAAATCTGAGTCAACTCAGGCATTAGTTAATAGATTTTAAATTCTTGATTCCATGAACATCGTAAAATTTCTTATGCCATTTTGGTTCATAAGGATGAAACCTAGAACAAGCCCTAATTCCAAGGACTACTGCAAAAGTGAGACATACCTGAAAAATATGCACCATGGACATACCCATTGAATTTCTTGCTGGTATGCTCCCCAGTAAAGTATAGGGGACCAACAGGTGCCTACAAAGACAGATCATTATATCTCTTAATTCAACCATGATTGATGAACGAAATTGTTCAAGTATTTTACAAAACTAATGGCTATAGTGCATACTAAAGAAAAAGAAAGTGAAAAAATGAAGGTATCTAACTCACCTTCAAGTCGTCAAAGTCATCTTCCGTAACCCCTATAGGCCAATTGGTATAAGTTCCTCGATAAAGAGGATCACTCCCCCATCTTGGAATGAGAATTTCCTCAGCATCAGGAATTTTACTTCCAAAAATCTTTCGAAGGACCACCATAGCCTCCTGCTTGGTTAAGTGGTCAGCTTGCCTCTCAATGCGCCTCGACTCATCATCAGTGACTACAGCCATAAGCATATTCGAACCCGGGTACTGATTCTCTAAGTTCTTTGGAAAACCAATAATGACAGGTATTCAGTCACTTCCAATCTTCAACAATATATGCTTACTTTAACTCACATATTAAAGATAACATTAAAAAGCATTGTGTCTAGCAGCATTTGCTCACCATCCAATAGGTAAAATAACCCCTTCTTTCACTTGCATAAGCAAAAGCCTCTGTGCCTGGACCGGTCGGCCAGAATTTGTACGGGAATTTGAGGAATATCTTAGTGAAGATCGCCATATCAAACTTGAATATTGATAAGCGCTTCCATCTCTAAAATAAATTTCATACATTATATTAGCCAGATTTTGTGTGGGGATAAAGAAATATAAGAAAGATTATCATATCAAACTTGAATGCTTATAGGAATTTCACCTCTAGAATCCATTTCAATGAAATTCCCATAACAGATAGCATGTGCACAACTATATGGATGAATGAAATCACACACAGACACATGACATAATATGTTTCATCTTGCTAAATGTGAAACTAAGTTCTAGGAAGATTATACTATTAAAAAACTTTGCTGATTGAAAAAGAATTACCAAATGCTCTTGGTAGAATGTCAGTAAAACCTTTACTCTTTTAACTCCCCCTTAAGACTTGGCTGAGGTCAAGGCCTAAACCCTTGAAGTTTATCCCAAACAAGCTGACCACCATTTTTTTTATTACATCACTAAAATCCAAGAAATTCAGGGGAACTGTTTTGTCCAACAAAGATTGAGATATGCTTTACGATATTCAGAAACCCAAAAATAATCAATAAATTTCCTTCTTGTCCCTAGTATCTAAAGTGTTTCCAGTAATTCCACAATTCACATCACTCTAGTTTCCAAATAGATAAAATATCATTAAAATGGATAGATGACCAAAAAATAATTGAGGTGGTCAAATCAACTAATTTATAAATAAAGTGGTAAGTTGACAAAGATCATTTCACTCAAGTACCTGCTCAACCATTTTTTTTAAAATATTATCCAAAATGTTCCTGTTCAGGATTTGGAGTCCCGAAGGGTATTTTTTGTAATTTCACCCAACTTGAGCAGCCAAGCCAAATGAGAAGGTATTTGGCTGAAATGATCTATTACAACAACCACTCTGCTAATGAATTCGTTGATTTGACTACTTCAGCAATTTTTGAGGTTGTTTGACCATTTTAAAAGGTTCAAAATATGACTAGATTATGAATAATTACATAAAATGTTTGACATCATGTAATGAAAAGCTTTTACAAAATGAACTATCAGAAATTATCGGGCATAAATTTAATGCTTAATCAATTTTACTACATTTATTCGTTATTAATAGTCAAGCACTGGTCTTCAGCTACCATCACCAGATATTTCATTTTCTTCTTCTTGGTTGGTTAAACTAACTTTGCATTTCATTTTTCAAGAAAATAAGCATGCAAAAGCATCCCTTACTGGCAATTCAGGTTTGAACCGAATAAGCTTGCTTTGAAGGACACCAATGCTAACGGATAAAATGGCATGATCTGCATTATAAACACTGCCATCTTCAACCAAGATAGTCACACCACTTTCTCCATACTGGATTTCACGAACAACCTTCTCTAAATGGAGGCGTTTATCAGTAACGTTCCCAGAATTTGTTTCCATGAATTCCCCTGCTAATCTATGGACAAGGTACTCATATCCACGTTCATCTGCAACAAACTGTTCATCTTCCCCATAATATGACATGGTAGAAATAGGTTCCACATTCTTTAAGCTTGTGATTCTCGGGGGCTCTAATTAAACAAAAAAAAAAGGTCAGAAGAATTTTAAGAGTACTTGTCACAGAAAAGGAAATAGGAAGTATAGGGGGCAAAATGGCTAGAAAATACAGCAGTACATAACATGGTATGAGAGTCTGTGGACCTGCAATTTCTGCATCATAAGACAAGTAGTCTACAGCGATTTCCAAGGGTGTTTGGGGGACACTGCAAAATCAAAAAGGCATGTTACAGCAATTACAACATGCAAAATCCAAAAGGCATGTTACAGCAATTACAACAAATCTAGAGACCGATAATTTCAACATCCTAATCCACATAGTTTACTTCTATGTGGACTTTGAAATTGCTAGTTCCATGAAGAAACTCCAATTGAATAATTCCCCAAATAAAATGGAAATTGCTATTTATTTTCCATCATTAACAAAAAAGGAAGAAAAGAGAAAAGATGGATAACAGCTTACTATCCAAACATACGTTGTGCAGCAAATATTGATAAATCTTCTTCATTGTTTTCTCTAAGTGTTGCAGCCAAGGCAGCACTGAAATTTGCAGCAGCTCGTTCAAGATCAAAAGTAGCAGACACCACAGATTGAGGAATGTGGGTACCACTGAAATTCAAATTAAGTATCAGTAAACTTACATTTGGCAATTTACAAGCTGTTTATTGTATAAGTAAATAAACAAAAGCAGACACGGGTTTTGAAGGAATAAAGATGACAAGTTAACTGAACTCAGAATCATAGAAATTTGCAGAGACATTGGAGTGATCGGTAAAAAAGGTTCGAAGACTGCAGTTCTTCGCAAGCTCCCAAATTGGGTTCATGTGAGGACCACCAAGACCCTCAACCCAATTGGCCCCAATCTCAATGGTTGTTCCTGCAAAGTTTTTCTTATGCATCCTCCCACCTATCCTATCACTCCCTTCCAATATCAAGTAGTCATCAAAACCACTCCTAGACAGCGTTTTTGCAGCCATTATTCCTGCAAAAACAAGGAATCCAAAACAAACTGTCTCGATGAAGAAATAGAAAATTTTAAATTCATAGCATCAAATAAAGATCCCAAAAATGTAACAAGATGATAGAAGTCATGCTTCAAAAGAAATCTCCATGAAATGAAATCCAAAAGACACTGCAAACTGTAAGACATGGTCCCTTGAAAAATATCAGAAAGCAGAGGAGCTATCTAAGGGAAGAAATAGAAAACTTTCAATTCATAGCATCAAATAAAGACCCCAACAAAAAAACATGATGATAGAATTCATTCTTCAAAAGAAATTCCATGGAATGAAATCCAACACAAAGAAACGCATGGTCCTATGATACCGCAAACTGTAAGACAAGGTCCTTGAAAATATCAGAAAGCAGAGGACATGACTAAATCCTGAAGAACTTCATAACTACAAAAAAAAATATCGACCTTTGCAAATAAAGTGTAAATGATCAAGCAGAAGGAATACTGAAAACTGAAAAACAGATACGAGAAAAGGAAGAACAAAAGAAAGGATGAGAAACTAACCAGACATGCCTGCACCAACAATGATGACTTTGGGAGAATTTGCAGCTGCATGATGATGTTGGGTGATGAAGAGAGAGAAAATGAAAAAACTCAAGAAGCAGAAAGAGAGAGAGAGACGATGGGCGTACTCCATTACTACTGTTCCTCACTCTTGATCGTGAGTAGATAAGGGCGACGTCGTTGGACCCTGCTGTTTTATACATTTGCTCCCGCCGGAGCACAGATTCTTTCTCCTCACTTTCGGCTCGGCCGAGTTACGCCGGCCGCTGATTTTAAGGACACAGGGTTTCTATGAGTCCTAGGACTCATATGTAGATATGCAGCCCTTCCTTTTTATCTATTTTTAGATTGATTTTAGACCTAAGTTTTTAGATATATATAGTATCTAACATGGAGATTATTAAATACGTAAAAAAAAAAATTAAAGCTATAAAAATAATGTTTTGGAAAACTTTTACACAATTAAATTTTATTCTTTTAAGAGGGACTGCAACTTTACATCCATCTTAAAGATCGCAGATGTAAAAATGTGTTCCCCAACTCACATAATTCAAAATTTTAGAGAATAACCATTTTAAGCAAGTAGGAACTCGAAAAAATAAATAAAATTTTAAAAATAGATTAAAAAAATTTCGACATAGTTTTAATAACATAAATTTTAAATTTTCGAAAAAAAAAATAAAATTTTAAAAATAGATTAAAAAATTTTCGACATAGTTTTAATAGCATAAATTTTAACTTTTTTGGGGCTACCATTTTTTAACATCCATCTCCAAAATAAATATTACGCTCGTAAGAGGACGCAAATGAAGAAGTGTATCCCCTAATGCACGCTACATTTCCAAATTTAAACTTGTCAAGGTTAGGAGATCAATGTAACATAGGCGTGCTAATTGATACGCAAGTGGTTAATGGAGGGTAGCTTAAATAAGGCATTAATAAGATATGAGAATCCTTTCATAAAATGATGCACCATAATTTTGAGAAAGGGGGGAAATGATAGGTTCATTCATATACTAAGACAAGTAAAAGGGAAAATCAAGAATACATATCCATTGTGCATATATTTAGTCATTGTGCATATCTTAAGTCCTAATAGTAATTAAAAGTCCTAATAGTCTTGGACTTGTGTCACAAATATAAATGGACTTTATTGCAAATATTATTGTGTCTTCAAAATAAAAGGGAACACGTGGGCTCATAATCTAATGTTTTAGAACTGATATTGGAAGGCCATTAAGTGCAGGCAAATTTAATGTTTCCCTCTCCCTCTCACCAAAAACTTGGCCTCTCCCTCCATTTGTCCCTACAGTACCTCCTTGTGCAATCTCTCTGTCTCCCTTTTTGTCCTTGCGCGATCTCTCTCTCTCTCGCTTTTTGCTCTTAGCTGATTTTTTCTGGTTTCAAGTTTATGATCAAATTTTACTAATTTGTAGTCATTGGTGTTCTCTCGGAAGGAAGGTGGGAACTGAGATAATGTTTGAATCAATGTAAGAAAAAGTAGGCGGTTTAAATTCTATTCGCCTAATTAGACTCAGTTAGATCGGAACTGGCACTGGCCAGTTCCAATTTTGGCTAGTTTTGGTTAACTGGCTGGGTATTTAAAAAAAATTATATAAAATCTCAAAAAATAAGGGATTTTGTTTATAATGAATATTTTAGTATTTTCCATCATGTTGACAAATATTAGAATTTTTTATTTGGCTATTAATACTTATTTTTATATTTGTCCATCTTTTTTAAAAAAAATTCAAAAATACCCTTGGGCACAAGGGATTATCTAAATTCCATTTTTCATTAATTTTCAACTTTATTTGGATGTGTTTTATTAAATCATACTTTAAATATACTTTTCATATTTTATTTCATATTTTTTATTTTTCAATACTTTTTTTACTGTCCGGGACTTGCCCGATTAAGCCGGTACAACCGGCCAATTTACTGATTAGGCTAATTGAACCATTTTCAGCCCCAATGTTTGGCTAACTATTCTGGTTCGATTTTTCCTTTACGGGTTTGAATTCCATATTTCGAAGAATACTTTTGACTGTTAGAATTCCCATGACAGCTCCTAAGGCTCTTCTCGTATTATGCAGTTGAATAGTCCCTTTCTTCTTTCATAGTTTCGAAGTTTGAAGTTTTAGGTGGGACGATAAGGCGAGTTGGATTCGGATAGCCTTTCTCTCACATAGGTTTCCAATTGTTATCTGGCTCGAGCCTCTTTTAGACTTTAGAAGCTTTCAAAAGGGGAAGGATTTGGGAAACACAGACTGCTATCGGATTATGATTTAATGAGGCAGTTAAAGTTTTTGAAATCACAAAAACAATGTTTTGTAGAATCCGAATCAAGGTTGTTCTTGAGATGGAGTTTGAAAAACTAAAAGATTAAAAACCAAAAAAAATTAAGAATGGGAGATTTTTAAAATGGGGTGGTCAGCAATTTTTATTGATACATCCATCCTTTTTAACTAGTTAGAAAGTTTCATTAGGTAGGAGATTTTGTCTTCACAAAAATCTAATTAGAGAGCTAAATTTTGAAATTAAATTTCAGCCCCTTATGCTGAGAATTCTTTAAGATTTTGATTTCTTTTGGAGATTTTCCCTTCTGATAATATTCTTAATTAGAACTAAGGCGATTCTAAAATGGATTTGGGGACTATGTTTCCTTGAGCTTTCTTTGCCCCTGATCGATGGTCCTTGCCATTACAATCTAAATGGAGATATTAGGGTTTTCAATCGAACCTAAGCCTTGAAAAGTTATTGACACTGCAGCCCCTAGGGCTTCGGTTTCTTGAATATTACAATATTTTTGTCTCCCCACAGTTTGTTTTTTTTTTTTTTTTTTTGGATTCATTTGTCACAGCTGCACAAGTGTGCTCTTTAGGTGTTCAACCTAGCTTTCTTTTTTTTTTTTTTTTTTTTTTTTTTTTTTTTTTTTTTTTTTTTTTTTTTTCACTTTTGGTTATTAACGCAAACATCTACAAGTTATGACAGGAGCCGAATTGGGAGCAGATCATAGAGAGAAGTTGCTCGAAACATGGAGATTGCTGAATTTTTCAAAAACGGCCAAAAAATAACCATAGCTCCTTAATTTGTGGAGTTTTTTCTAAATTTTCTATCAATTAATGCACGGATGATTCCTCAAAGTTTCATGGTGATGAGTCATCAAATAATGACCAATAAAGGGTAAAACTTGAAAGAATTTGAGAGAAGCATGAGAATTCTTCCAGTTTTGATACAAAATCCACAAATTTGAGCATATAACTCCTTCAAATCTTGGAGTGTTTTTATCCAAATTTTTTGTAGAATGATCATGGTAAGATGCCCAAAAAATGAGAAAGAAAATCGAGCAAAAATTAAAAAAAAGCGCATCAAACAAAGGGAATTCGACTTAGGCATGAGAGAAATGCAATTCAATGGCAAATGAATAAAATTTCCCAAGTTTGGCCCTCCCAAAATGGTCATTTTCAGTAGCTCAAGCTAAGTTTTGATAAATCCACCGACCAATGAGGCCCACTATTGATCATCCACCCATGTCCTCAAGCCTTCAATATAAGCCTATGAACCCTAATTTTCATAATGGTATGAAACTTTTGTTAGGGAATAGAACTTGTGAGAGTGCGTAGGAACTTAGACCTACAGTGAAAAGAAAATGCCCATACCCAAATTACCCTCACTCAAATTCCAAGAATAGTCTTAAAAAAATAACAAGATATTAAAAAATCCACAAAAATAAAAAATACTCAAAAACCTAAAATTCATTTACTGCCCCTAACAAATCCCAAATAAACAAGTGAACAATATCGAAAACTAGAAAGACCTTCTAGAGTAGATCAACCTCGATACGGAAGATTCATTGCTGTCTAGATCTTCAAAATAAATGCTTCTTATTGCTCCCAATAAATAGTGTCAGGTCTGGAATGGTCCTTTGTTCTAACATTTCTTTTGAGAAAAAGTTTATATAAAGCTGAGGCGCTAAACAACTAAATTAGAGTTTATCTCAAAAATTTCATTAGAAAGAGTTGTTTTGATGCTCAAATATCTTCAAATTGATCATCTCGATATCAAGATGCATGAACACGAGGAAAAAATAGATTTTAAGTATTGTAAATAGTGTACGTATTTTTGGACTGTCAATTTGCAAATTTTCGAGTTTTTATTGATATATTCGATCTTATACTATTTTTTAAGTTTTAAATTTTATAATTAAAAATGAAACTATATTTTAATGCTATCACAAAAATTTCGCGTATTGAAACTACATTTCTCGATACCATTTGAAGGTGGGCACTAATTTGATTGTTTTGAGCCTCGGCTCCTGCGAACCGCACCCTTTCATGCAAATTGATAACCACGTCATGCAGCTTGAAACCGTGTAACCGAATGCATGAACGTTGTGACCCGTACATTACGTGGCCCCTAAATTTGGTATTGAGAATTAAGAAATAAAATTGCTCTTAATTTCCATAGTTTTGATATCAAAAAATTAGAAAAACAATCTAACAAATTTTAAATATATTGATATTACAGACTTTGAATATTTGAAATTTTGGATAGTAAGACTACGTTCCATTTTTAAAATAATCAAATGTTATTTCTACTTATGTAACTTTTTTTCTTCTAATTTTTAAATATTAAAATATAAAAATAAGATTCTAAAAAATGACATAAATCTCGTAAATGGCACACTTACAATTGTAAAATAAATAATGAGTGAGAAAATAAATCTGTACAATAAATTGTTTCTTAATTTCATATTTTCAAGAACAAAATATTTTAAAAACCTTAATTTCTAATTAGAAAATATCAAATTTTCAAAAATAACAAAATATTTTGGAATTGGATTTCCAAAATAAAGATTTATTTATTTTTTAAAAATAACACAATTCTTAATTTTTGAATATTTTCTTAATTTCAAAAAGGATTCAAACATTAGAAAAATATCAAATTTAGAGTGAAACACATAAAACTTTGGCTGCAAATAATTAATTAACTTTTTTTTTTGATAGACATTTAGAGTTATTATTAATCAAGAGATTACAGAGTTTGAGACCACAATCTCTGGTAAAGCAGAGCCACCTTTCGCAAGACAATCAGCCACAACATTAGCCTCACGAAAGATATGAATACAAGAACAGGAAAAGGACATGGACAGGTCGCAAATCTGCGGGGTGGTCTTTGGATCCTATTACATTAATTGATAATATTAAGCGAATCC